ACCCCGACCCCCGCTGCCGTCCGGCTCCTTGCGCCCACGGTGCCAGCAGGAGCGCTCCCTGGCACCAGGCTCCTCTGGCGGCATGGCAGCCGTCAGCCCCGGTGAAGGGGCTGCGAGTGCCGTGGCCCAGCTCTGCCTCCGCACCCAGCCGGCGCTGCCCGGCGCAGCTCCCGGGGCCCCGTGCCAGGCCGGCACGGTAGCTGGGCTGGAGGCTGGGCAGCCCTGCCGTGATGGAGCTGTGGTGGCAGCACCAGCGGCGTCACCAGCGCCAACCCTGGCACCTGCAGTGTGGACAAGCAGTCACCGAGCCCCTGTGCCAGCCCCCTGCCCACCAGCCCCAGGCTGGCATCACGGCACCCTCCCGCTGCCAAAACCTTCCCCACCGCCTGGGCCAGGCAGAGGCGCGTCCGGCTGCCCGGCATCGATGCCGCAAGGTGCGGGCCCCGCTCTGCCAGGCCACAGTGACTTCGCCACCCGTCCCTTCCCTTCCCATCCCGTCCCACTGGCAGCGAGGGCGGTGCAGGGCTCGGCCGACGCCAGCATCCCGGCAGCCTCCCAGCCGGTGCCACAGCAGCCATGCCCGGCCCTCCCGGTACCACACCAGGTCCCCGCCGCCCCGGCACCTTCTCGGCCAGGCGGGTGGCCGGCGGCAGGGTGGGCGTGCGGCTCACCTGGCGCGTGTCCCAGCGTGGCTTGGTGCTGCGCGGCAGCCGGGTCGGCGGCCCGTGAGCGGCAGGGAGGGGAAGGCAGGGTGCTGTGTGAACTTGGCCCCGCTCCCCGCTGCACTTGAGCGCAGGATCCCACCTCAAAAGGAGTCGACGCCCACACCCCGGGTCACGCACCTCCCAGCCCCGCTTCCCAGAACACACACGGCATTAACCCTTCGCGGCCGGCGCTCTGCCGCGGGGCGCCAACCCGGAACCGGGCAGGGGGGCATCCCCTGGTCCCCCCACCTCCCGCGGGAGGAAATTCCCAGCACCGGCAGGACGGCCGCCCTGGGCATCCCCTCCCCGCCACCGGCATCGCCTCGCACCGGCCCCCCGCGCCGAGGCGTCGGACAGGCCCTCGCCCTCCCGCCGCCCCGGGGCAGGGCGATGGGTGCTGGG